ACATGGTGTTGCCATTGGATTTCAGCAAACCTTCGGAGACAGCGATGATCGAACACAGAGAGTTGTCTAACATCCTCAACTCGGAGAGGCCAGGTTTCACAAGCATAGAGCAGAACTGCTCTCACTAACGCGTTGTAGATCCGACCTTTTACAGTCAGACTAACATCATGAAGGCGCCAAAGATGGACCAGATTGGCATAAACCGCTCTGGCTTTCACTATACGTGCACTGATCTCATCACTCACGCCACCACCAGCACTTATGCAGCTACCTAGATACACGAACTTCTCGACTACTTCTATCTGCTCACTACCCAGAGTGAGTGCAGAATCAGGGTCCTGTCATTCTTGTAAAATTACTTTGCACATAGAAGGTGAGAAGCACATACCATACCTACAGACACTGATTGCCAACTTATAGAGAGAGGATTGCATGGCTTGGGTATTCTAACATAATATATCCCCTTTTTTAACATAAACAGCAGCTCGCCCATGGTGGAAACTCTGTTTTACCTAAACGTTCTCGAGTCACTGTCTATTCGAAAGTTGAATGTATCCACTGAATAGAAATGCTGAAAGTCTTTCTGAAACCACGTGATACAACATCGGAAAAAGACGACACTCTTATCTGCTCTCAGCCCACACGTTGAGAACGATGGGGGGAACACTTTAAAGAGCAGTTCAGCTGGCCTTCAGCTACTCTACAACTACCATCCATTCCCATACAGCCTGAATGGAACATTGAAGTAGGTCCACGACTCTAGCTGAATTTCAAAATGCTATAACTGATCTGAAACGAGGAAGAGTAGCTGGTTCATATGGATTAACTAGTATTCAAGCTGAAATCTGAGAGTTGGATGTAATTCCGCGACAGATGAATTTCCTGTAATTGTCACTTGCATTTCCTCTTTTTTTGGTTCAATAATTTATGAGGTTTGGAATCACTGATAATGCGAATACCTGTTGTATGTGTTACGGTTGTAGTAATTCAGTAACCCATTTAATTAGTGGGTACTAAGTTCAAGGCTCAGTGGTAACATTAACACGAATACAGGTACATTTAACTTGGTTTTTGTCAAAAATTGAACAGTGTCGCAAAAATCGGACGACGGGTAAATAGAAAATATTAGATATTGAAACAATAGTAAAAATCGCATTGTATGAAACCAAATAATCCGAGCGTTTTTTGCCGAGTGATGTTCACGAAAATTTGATCATTTCGAAACCTGATAAAGGAACAGGAACCGTCCTACTTAACAAAGTTAAATAATAATAATAATAATAATAATAATAATAAAGTGTAAACACTGTAATTAACTAACCAGTGAATACATTGATAGCTGTAATCCAAACCAAACCAGATGTAGGTGATCGGAATAGTCGAGACAACAAATATGTTTGCGGTAATACAGCCCAAATGAACAATCCAAATAATATAACTAAATTGTGAAACCTTTCACCAAGAGCAAACTGTTCCAAATTGAATGCCATAAAACACAATAATATAGAACCAACGGATAGAAAAAATATGCACAGATCCCACACATAGATAGATATCCAGTAGAGTGCTGGTAGAGAAAGAATAATCCCGAAAGTAACTTGTTATTATTACAAAAATTAAGTAAGTAGTTAGGAAATAAATGTGCATAGATTAGTTAGGAATTTAAAATCTTAATATATTTAATTAGATTACAATAGTTTATTCCAATTTTCGTTTAAATTTTAACGAATAGTTAGTTGCACAATAGTTTGGCACCGAGTTTACGGAAGATATAAAACAAGGAAGTTATATTTTAAAACAAATTCAGCAGTTGAAGTTCAAATATGGATGTAATGTTCCTCCCGGCTGTCTAATCTAAGTTTCTTCAATAGAAATAATCAGACATTTCGTTTACAAATTGACTTTGTACTAAACAAATTGCCCAAGTATTGTTTGTTGTAGTGTGGGTATTAGTCATGTGGAAATAATTATAGAGAAATTTCGGTAAGGTAGAAAGCATATGTGTATGTACACAAATTTGACGTGAGAAAAAATTATTAACCATATATGGCTTCTGTTGGGGATGTTAGATTCCCATTACTCACTTGGTAAAAATCTTATTTTGAATTTCTCGTTTTCGGGCCAAAAGCACCCATTTTCATCTTCATGTCATATTTTCCACTTGGGAGGACCTTAAATGTTATTGGTTCATTGTCTCTTAATATGCTATTTGTAACATTTCCCAAGGACCTTTTTATGCTGTATATATACTCTTGAGTTGTGCTCATTATAGTTTTTTTTACCGTTTTCTGGCTGTTTATGCAATAAATTTCCCTCTTCTGAACCTGAACTTCTCTCTAGTTAGCGGGGCTGGGACGTATCAGAGTAATTAGCTTATTGGTCATTGTGACACTGAGTCTTCGTTCCGTTCGTAGATTAGGTGAACTCTTAATCTCTTCAAACAGCAGCCTCAGGCTATGATCGTTGATATAATTAAACAATCTGATAGATTTTTTTATAACGGTCGGATTTTCTTCGTCTTTACGAATAGGACGTTAATTTATCTAAGACGAATGTCTACACTAGATTCCCTCCTAGTGTCTACTCTACGGGACTCAGATCAAGAACACGTGATTAGCCTGAATAGAACGTAAATATATTTCCACACCCAGAACTGACAAGGCGACACAATACAACAACAATCAATAATAATAGTAATAACAATAATAATAATAAGGATAGGAGAATATATAACTCATCTAACGCCTGTCAGACATGAGACGAATTAGGAGTAGTAAGATCAAATTCAGATCTATTTAGAAGTTATCAGTTACCATGGTACAGATAATTGTTTTTCATCTTTTCTATCCATACTATTTGGGTTCTCAGTTGTCAATCTTTCTTCATACGAACCAAAAGCCTTTTAAAAGGATTCTTGTTCCATTGAAGTCAACTGTGTGTTTAGATTCTATTGAACGTAGTGCGATCGCCCTAATTGTTTTCCAGTTTTTTTTTAAAAAAAGATCTAAGGATTTAGGAATATGCATCAAGCAAAGTTTGTGTCTCGTCATTCTCACACTCAAGTGATATGATGCTTCACCTATATATGTAGCATCGGTCATTAAATTTGATCGCATGGACACAATACAGTTGTTTTTCCCTTGATATTGTGTTTTTGACCTTTACTAGTGTTATGAATTTAAGTTGTGAGACTGCAGGGTTTGATAAGCAGCGTATTTATTGATCGATCGCAGTACAGTGACACGGAAAACACGTACGGACGGCCCAGAGTCTCTATTGGTCTCGCTTCCCTGTCTAGCCCAGTCAGTTGAGTCCAGAACACAAGTCACAACCTCTGAGATATGAATCACTATATTTCAAACATACTTTGTTTATATACTAGTCAAGCATACCACAGCGTACCATAAAAATAGTAAACAACATTTACGCAATATGTAACGAATGAATTAAATAATAGCCAATAGGGAATGTACATTTAAAGTCCAAGGACACCACTGGACTTAACATGATAATTATTGGTCTATTCTTCCGCATCCACAACAACTAGTCTACAGTTAACAGTATTGTTCATTCGGAAAAATGCTTTTATATTATGATGATTCAGGATTCTTTCGATTTCTGCCAAGGTTCCTTTGAGACATAGGATCATTTCCATATCGATGCATCCTTTAGCTTACCTTTACGAATATTTTTTGGGATTTCTTAATTATTCTTCTTATAAAGTCCCTAGGTGTTGGCTTTCGGAGTATATTCATTTTCAATCAATTACTGTTTCTTTTTAACCAAACGGTCAAAAATGATAGTTTGAGGTCAGCGAATTCGAATTTTTTAGTGAACTTGGTGTCATCAGATATGCTGTCGATGCTTTTAAACATTTCGACCAATTCACCTGGTTTTGTAATGGTAAAGGTGTCATCTGCGTATCCTAGTCATATTTTAAGTTAATGGGGACACTGAGCTTCAGCCTGTTTTCAGTGAATGAATGCATGAACAAGTACGCGACAATCGGGGAAACCAGTGATCGCTTAGCCCTACCTTTTGTTTGTCTCTATAGGTCTGTTCGGATTCTGAATAAAGTGGAATGTATGCGTAAATCCAAAGCTTTAGTAATATCAAAGAGACCTAATGAGCATCGATGCTTTGAATCGGTGTCAGAATCTAAATAATTATGTGCAATATTTATTCCTCTCTTAATAGTAACACCAAATAATAAAGAACAAACACCAAAACTTACTATTGATTCGTCCTTTTTCATAGCGACAAATCGTTGTAAAATCCAACGATTATATATCAGTTAGCTAGTGTGAGAGCTATACAGTTTGAATGGATAAATTCTTAGAAATAACAACACGTATGAAATGTGAGTGAGCTAAACAATGCCGAAGATACAATTAAGTATGCTAATTGATGATATCAGTGTCTTGAATATCAAATAAAATAAAACGGAGGTTAACAATAAATTTCACAGATTGAAATCATGAGTCAATTGAAGTTAGACCACCATGGAAAAACCTGGAAGCACTGGACGGCCGTTTCGTCCTAGTATGGGACGCCTCAGCAGTGCGCACCCACGATCTCGCACCCCGCGGGATTCAAACCCAGGATCTACTGGTTTCGCGCTCGAGCACTTAGCCGCTAGACCCCTGAGCCGGCATCCAAGGGTGTTAATGTCTAACTTCAACCAATCCACGAAGTTGCGCCACCGTACACCATTGTCTTCAGTGAGCTGATACCTCACGTCCATTTTTGTATTTTTTTTCCGAGTGAAACTTTTTTTCATCCCTTTTGGAAAAATATTTCATCCCCATCTACCAATAATTTACATTCTGTTTCGTCCAATCAAATAGCTAGTTTTGAGTCTATTATAATTGGTCGTTTATTTCTTACATTCGCCTATCGTAACTACATGACAAAACACTGAAACATTCTGAATAAGTTTTGCATGTACTATTGTTAGACAGATGAATGTTCATTAGATGAAATTTCCTATACGAAATCGTTTACTTAAACCGTATATTTGATAAAGCTTAAAAAGCGTTTACGAATACGTGGGCGATAATCACATAATGATTATTAATCTTAAATGAATTTTGAGGGTTTGATCACTTGACCTTCGCTATGGAAATAAGGAGTTGAAACAAAGGAATTTAAATCAAATTGTGGGTGGCCCTGAAAAGGGCCTTTACTGGTTCTCTTAACACTTCCGAATTTCATGAACAAAAAAGTTGCTATGACTCCGTTATAGCGCCGCACACGGGACATTGAATTCCATGGACAAGTGGTGATGGGTTGTAGGCACAAAATAAATGAAACATTGCATCGCATCGACAAGAAATTCAGGTACTTCCATCAAGAGTTTTATGTGGCGGTTGAGCAAGATAACAAATATCACACAGTCTGTTGTCATACGCGTTTTCGTCATTGTCGTCGTCTAGCTCAGTGAACTCCTCTGAGTTAATCGAAACAATTTCTTCCTCGTCGTTGCTTAACGTTGCATCCATATTGACGTTACGTTGAGAGCTGGTAACTTCTGTCTGATGGATCAACGATATTTTAACATTAATGGAAGTAGAGGTTTCGATCTGAAACTCTGTAACAGCAGGTAAGGTCGGTGGCGCTGGAGGTGTCCTACCGTAAACAACTTGATATGCATTGTTATACACGATAGAAAATTGCTCTTCGGACATACACCTAACTAAGGCATACAACGATTTTCTTACACTTGCCTGTCCTATTTGAATAGGTAAGTAATTGTCAATCGCAACACTGGTGATGTAGCTGTCCGATTGCAACCATCTATCACTAATTAAATGAGTGTTCACTTCAGTATTACTGCGGATGAAGTAGTCTGAAATTTGACGACATGGTATTCGGTTTTCAATGTAAAGATCACATGAAGAATTGAGTGGATTACTGGAGACTGTATAAGTGCCTGTAGCATCAACAGCCGTGGACAAGCCCATGGACATTTCGACCTCATTTATAGGAGTGCGCAAGTGCCGTTGCAGTAGTTAACATGCAGCTGGCATAAGTCTTTCCTGAAGACGAAATATCACTGGCTCCCGACCGATTATTGTTTTATTACGACAATCATTGTAAAATGTGATCGATAGACGAACCCACCAATAATAAAGGGAAACGCCCACCACCACATTAACTCCTTTTGACTTTGTACGACTGTATCTCTTTATTAACCAATCACAGTTTAATGTTCATTGTAAAACAATATTTGCTTGTTGACTCATTTTTCCTATCCACTGGCTACTGTTCGGTATGTTATTTGTCTCTGTTTTACCCTGTATTAATAGACCGTACTGTTTGTTTGTACACTAACGATGTTAATTTATGTTTTAGAAACAGATCAAGTTTATCTAGCCAAATAGCTTGCTTGTTCTGACTTTGGCCAAACCAAGACTCTGTATTCGACGGTCTAGAGAATAGCTCAGAATTAAACCTATAGGAACTTGCTCTCTACAGTCATAATAGTACTTCTCGAATCGCGCATCCATCCAATATCCAGTGCGAAGAAGCACACTGAATATTGATCTCAACACGGGTGTTGTTCTGTTCAGCTTATGCAATTTAAGAATCCGATGAGTTGTCTCAACGAAATTCGTATTACTTGGTCGAAAAGCATTTGACCACTTGTGCTTTTTAGACAAAAAGTGATCTCCCACATATCGGTAAAAATTTCCGAGTGATACTTCAATTAATGGAAGATAACTATGGAAACTACGAAAGACTGTAATGCATATTTTTATTTACCTTTCAACATTCCTAGTGAACATCAGACGGAAGAAAAGTTTTACAGTTTCTGCTCGTAGCCTCTACAATGACGGTTAATGGCTTAATGTTAAGCAACGAAAAACTTACCCTCCTTACCACATTATGAATCAGGTGTAAGCGACACAAAATGTGGTGGTAATTGGGATACACCTGCATAATGGCAGCAGCTATTGCAGGTGAATCATCTGTCACAATACCTAGCACCTCTCGATTGTTAGAACGACAGGAATTGAGCAAGTAAACTAGGTGTTTCGCAACTTATGAATGCAATACAAACAGGTATTGCCATGAAATTCATATCAAGTGCTACAACCTGATACAAATATAAGTTTTCCTTATTGGTTTTGTAGGTCCCATCAAAACCAAAAACATCAAAAAATCGAGTTGATAAATTCATTTGATCTGCTGTTGTGAAGAAGAAATACAACAAACAATTATCCCCATCTAAGTCGTATTCACAAAGGCCACCAAGCGACATGGTGTGATCTTTAAGTTTGGAGTAATCACCTAACGTTTACAATTTAAATAGGTAGATTGCTCACCAGGGAGGTTGGCTTGTGAGAACACTTTGTGGCGCATATTAAAAATATCTTGAGCATTAATGCGCTTTCTATAAGATTGGTAAACAAAGTGCATAATATTAGATGCTGTTGTCCCAGATGTCAAAAGTGGTTTCACTGTTTCGAATTCCACCTCCGTTAACCTGCGCATCCAAGAATTACTTTGGTACCTTAGGGAATCGCACTCGTGATTTGATGCAAATTCCCACGAACAACAGTCCAGTAACCTTCAATAAACTTACAAAAGATGAAGGAAGGACATTGAGTGTTCACAGTAGTCCTTAATGAAAAATTATAATAACACTAATCAAATTACCTCGTTCGTCTACTCGGCTGTGAGGAACCACTAGGTGTTCTACGGCCATTTCTCCAACATACGAATCTAATATACGGCTTCCGATCTCTATGGAAATGAGAATCCCTCACCACATAATGGCAGTACGTAGCTCTTTTATAAGTTCTAATGGCGCTCTTCAACGCTTCAAGAGATTGGAACGCTACGAGATACAATGTGCTCAAGAACAGGTTATCGGTTTCTGTGACAACGTGAGGAACGACTGAGTTTGTGCCTTACATGTTACTACCGTTCATAATTGGAAGAAAATGTGCTCTGTTATCAAGTCCGGACGTTTTATATCGATTTTAAGAAATAAACGACCAATTATAATGGACTCAAAACTAGCTATTTGATTGGACGAAACAGAATGAAAACTATTGGTAGATGGGGTTGAAATATTTTTCCAAAAAGGATGAAAAAAAATTTCACTCGAAAAAAAATGCAAAAATTGCCGTGCATTTAATGATAAATTGTGGAAATAAGGGTTTTCAATAGTAAGGAGAAAGGGGTGGCGACAAAACAGATTTTGCTTACCTAATTTTACTCCAGAAACAAATTGCAAATGCTTCGCCTTAGTTACAGTTTCATAAACTGGAAAGAAACCAAAACAAGAGGCCAAATAGGACGCAGCGAATAGAATATTCGACGCTAATGGAAAGCCTGCTACTACAACGCGCATAAGACCTTCGATTTCATCAATCTGTTTGGCACGTTCCTCTTTGGTTTCAGGCAGAGGTTGATTAGATACATAAATTTGTGGCGGACTGTTGTTAGTAGTTAGACCAGGGCATATTGTCTGAAAACAAAAAAAATACCAAATGGTTAGTAAGCATCAGGCAAAGGCAAACGATAATTTCAGTAATCTGGTTACAGTGAAATGACTCATGTGATTGACTAATAATTTCCGAAGTACGAACACTGACAGGGGTTTTGCTTTTTGAGAGCTGAATAAAACCCGTATTGGATTGTCAGGATGAGTTTTTTAAAATATTTGAATCTGATTTCAAAAATGCATCAATATTATTGCTTTCATATTAAGGAAAATGTAGTTGAAGTCTAAATACTCAAAAAACCACTTATCAATATGCTTGAATGAACCATTTCGATTTACGTTGTCTCCTTAACTAATTTCTCAAAAGAAGCAATACTTAAATTCAATTTTAGCGTAACTATGCAGGTTAATACTTTAATGACCAAGCCGAAGCGATTTTTTGAAGCATTTTAATGACATCCAAAATCAAAAGAATATATTACAAATTATAAGGTGTTATCGAATATCTATTTTATTCCATCGGGCGTACGTTAGCTTCTGTACTATTAAATTTATTTTATTTGCCACATAACGTGGTAACCACTTTAAATTTGGCGAGTATTCTTCAATGTAATACATTTCACATGAAACTAGGTGCTTATGTTGACTTATTACGTTAAGGAACAACCAAGGACTCGGAGAGAATTATGTTTTCTACCAGTGAGTCGGAATCTAACATTTAAAATTTCCAAACTCAATCAATTTACGACAGTATGGTGAAATCTTTCCTTTGGATATGGGTGAACTTCATCGGTGACGACTTTCACTAGAACTTCGGGAATTCACCTATTGACATTACCAAGGAGACAACTAGAAACATCGAGTCATTTTCGATACTCTGGGCATAGAAGTTGGAATACGGGGATTCTACTTTCTTATTTGGTGAATTTAGGATGATTTAATGCAAATACGAAATAATTTGCTTATAAGAACGATGTACATCAGTGGACAGTGAGTCATAAAAAGATAACGATATACTGCAGTTTGAACAAGATTAGGACACATTGAGATCTGATCAGACATGGAGCACTGAGGTGAAGTTACTTTGTGTAAAATAATGTAAGCCAGTAGAACCAAGATCTGTTCTTACTTAATTTGTCATAATTTTATGATAATAATATATTCAAAAGTCTCCAGAAGCAAATATCTTTATACATATATATATTCTTGAAAATCACCTGATTAACTGAAGTTAGGTACTGTAAAAATCCGTTCACGACTGCATTCAAAGAAATTGGAGCAGCATGAAATGATTCACCTTGAAAGTAAGCACGTAATGAAATGATTTGGTCTTTGAGAGTTGATTTTGTATCAACCACTAGCCCGATAATTGATTTGAGACGGAAGTAAAACAAGTGAGGAATGGCTATTTGTTTCAGCAGATGATCCTGGTTAACAGATGGATAGAAGTGACTAAAATTTTAACTGAGAAATCTGTTTGTACTTCATTCAAAAAACAAAAAAGCATTTCGATTAGTCATTAATATTTACAGAACCCAGAAGCAATAGAGAGGATATAAAATTACGATTCCATAATGTTTAAAATCAATGGATTCATCTAGTTGAATCATATCCTATCGCGCATCAGTGTTTCAATCAGCCATGTGTAACGTAGAACTTGATTCCTCTGTAAATAGGTCCAAGTTGTCACAACTCGTTAGCACAGAGAGATGAAATTGTCAAAACAAATCCCAGAGTAGCAACGGTATTAGCGATAGTAGAAAAGGTAACACATAGAAGATAAGAATCCAGAAAAGAACATGAATTCGTAGAATGGTGATAAAAAAAACATTTTACGAGATATTCTGGATCTAGGTACGTGTTTCAGTTCAAGAATAAGGGTAGTTATGAACTGATGTGTTGGTTTGGCAGCCCCTAGTCTATTTCCGACTTATTACACCAGACAACACCTGTCAAGGTAGTTGGTGGATGGGAATATGTGATACATTTACTATGTCAATCAATTGGTTCCCCATTCTTACCTGATATTTTGTGTTTAGTCTCAGAATTTCTAACTAAATGGCACCTAAATACATGAGCAATGCTTCGAAGACATCTATGATCGGATACTAGTGCCTACGAATATCCTCTATTTTGAAGGTAGCGTTCCACAGCCATAGAGTAGAACAAGGCGAAATGCTACATAGTATACTCGTTCTTTAGTTGGCGAAAACCAACTGAGCTTTCTGAATTCGTATCGAGATTTCGTAAGACATCAACTCACCAGGGCTGATGTGACTTTCAAGATAAGTAAAGTGATCGATATGTTAAAATACTTCACTCCCTAACATTGGTTTAGGTGTTGACGTGGGTCAATCCTAAAGCAACATTTTCGATTTATAGGGAGAGAAACATAATTCAAACATGCTTGGATTGTTGCTTAGGACGATCATAAGATTCTGCCTTTGGTCATCATCTGCACCGAATCGGATTATGTCACTTGGATATTCTAAGTTGATAAGTGAGTCTCTTGATAGATCAATTCCTGAAATCAGACTATGAGAGCATTATTTCTACAAGGATGCCTTTGACAAAGCTAAATAAAAATAGAGAAAGCGAGTGACCGTGGTGAACACCACGTATTGACATGGTTTAGGCCAACAGAACAAGGTGTTGGTCAATTT